AAAATTCTCAGATCATCTAGGTAAAAAAATCAAGTGAGTTACAAGGGAAAGAAAATTAGATTATCATCAGACTTTCAGACAGCAACACTTTATGATGGAAGAAAATGGAGTAACATATTTAAGATACTCAAGGAAAGAAAGTACGAGCCAAGGATAATGTTCTAAACAAAACTGACTTTGTCACAAAAGCAGAGACAAACTGTTATCAACATGCAAGAACTCAGAGAATATTGTTCCCATGACCCCTTCCTAAGGAATCTACTAGAGAGAGCTTCAGACAAGCAGAGTGACCTGAGATGTCAGTGTGAGGACTGATGGGGAATATTCAGTATACAGTTACTTGTGGGATGCAATGGTTGTATAATCTGACTGTGTAATCACAGTGCAGTCCCCAAAAATAATGGGGGCACAAGGAGAACGGGCGAGCATATGAAAAAATATTTTAAACCATTTTCAGCATTCATATTGACGGTAGTGGTATTAGCATTGCTATTCTGGTAATGTTTGTGTGCAGAGTGGTAAAGCAAACGAGCATTTATGGGCTATTCTGATCCTTTCATTGCCTGTGTACTGGTAACCAGGGATCTTGACGTGAAAGAAAGCAGATATGGATATAACAAAGCAGAAGTTAAACAACAACTCTGTAATGCTGGATTTGGATCAGACGGCCCAGTGTGAACTACTGAGGCATTTCATCTTCAAACATTTATACATATTTTATTTATATTTTCTAGTGCTGTCCACTGAAAAGAACCAGGAACAATGACCAACCCAGCAGCAGTAAGTATTCCTAGGATCCAGATTATGATGTTGAAATACCATTTCCCATGAAAAGAAACCAGGTTTTCGAGGAATAGAAGATGCCCTGTTGGGACAGGAAACATATAAGATGAGTCTGCAACATCTTGTCGTGCTAGATAGAGAAGTTACCAAACTACTATGGTTGTGTCAAAAAGAGCCCAGGAGCTAACTTGTAGAGTCTGCCACTCATCGAAACAGGACAGTTTGAGCTTCAATGAGGATAATTATTATAATGGATTGAAATCTATTAAATGTTTAACCCATGAGTTCATAATGATGCTTAAAAAAACCCCACAAAACTAATTTGTCTCTTTTAGAGGATGACAGAGAAACAACTCATTGTCTTAAAACCTGATTGATCAAGGGAAATAATCAAGCCTTTAGACTGCTTTTCTTATGTGAATAGGGCAATGGAGTGACCAAATAAGAAATGAGAGGAACTATTGCTTCATAAAATTATTTCAGCAGATAAAAGGAATATCTGGTGTAATTTGAGGGCTTCCACCCACTTCCTCCCCCACAAAACACTTTTCCCGTCAGCCTATTTGGTGTCTAAAATGCCTCCATCAGACACCAGCCCTGGGTCCAAGGCACCAGAGCATCTGTGTGAGGCTGGCACATGCCCCATAGGATCCACAGGTATGGAGATACCCAGAACATGGTCCCCGGGAGAGACAGTCAAGAGCCTGGTGGGTATGGTGGGCTGGGGTCAGTAAGGGAACCACGGGGGGCCCAGGACATCATGGTGGCCAGTGAAGATGGGAAACATCTTGAAACCAACCTTCACCCCACTTCAGAAGAAGGTAAATCCCGACTGCATGGCATGTCGTACCAAGGCATCAACCCACTAGTCAAGCCCATTTCAAGAACTGCCTCCACCAGGGAGCCCTTCCTGATTCCGCACTTCTTCTCTTTGGGCCTCCTGCCTGTGCCCCACAGAGCTGGGTGTATGTGACACCTGGAAGGATTCTAGGACAAGTGACAACAAACCAACACACTGAGTGTTTACTCTGAGCCAGATATGCTTCTAAGCATATTACTTGGTTAACTCTGCTTTAGTTATTCTTTGTGTGTAACAAACCATCTCAAGACTTAGTGGTTAATTATCCCTCGCAGTCCCATGGGACAGTGGGCTCCACTGGGCAGTTCTTCTGCTGGTCTTCCTGGGACCGTTGTGCAGCTGCAGTCAACTAACAGGTGGCCCTGGGGTCATTTGGAGGCTCAGCTGGGATGCTCAGATGTTGTGATGGCTGGTCCTCGCTCCCTCTGCATGTAGTCTCAGGGCCTCTCCTCCAGCAGGGCAGCTGGACTTCTTCCACGGCAGCGCAAGGCCATGGCTTCCAAGAGCGGGAAGCAGAAGCTGCTAGTCCTCTTGAAGACCAGGCTTGGAACTGGCTCAGCAGCACTCCTCCCACATTCTGTTAGTCCCAGGCCAGCCCAGGTTCAACATTGGAGGGGACTGTCCAGAGCTGTGGCTCATTCATGGCTGTCTTTGGAGGCCAGTTACTACCAACCCATTGGATCCTCCAACAACCCCTTCAAAGTAATAGCTATATTACCCCTGCTTTACTGATGAGAAAACTGAGACAGAGAGAAAGATGGGATGAATTGAATAAAGGCACAGACCCACTGTAGTGGGGCCCAGAGAGGGAAGTGTTGGGAAGTCTCACTAAGGAGGGACACTAGACCAATGAGCAGGCATCTTCCAGGAGAACAAGTGGTGGTGGCCGGGGAGGAGGAGTCCAGCCCTGCAGACACTGATATGAAAAACAGCACAGGACTTGGCTGGGGGCTGAGGCACAGGATGTCAGGAAGGGGCCAAGAGTGGACGGGGCCGGGGCACTGAGCAGGGCTAAATCACGTCGCGGAGTTTGGACTTGAGGGTGAAAGAGGCACTCATGAGTTTTGGAGCAGGAGGGTGACGTGGTCAGGCTGTGTTGTTGCCCATCCCTCTGGCGGCCGTCAGGAGATGGACTGAAGGGAGCAGGGGACGCAGGGAACCAGTGAGGAAGCATATTCGTTTGCCAGGGCTGCCGTAGCAATGTACCAAACACAGTGGCTGAGAATAACAGAAGGTCACTGTTTCACAGTTCTGGAGACTGGAAGTCTGAGATGCAGGTGTGGGCAGGGCTGTGCTCCCTCTGACGCCATTAGGGAAGGGTCTGTTCTGGTCCTCTCTCCTAGCTTCTGGCAGTTTCTGGCTGGTGGTATCATGCCTCTAGCCTTCCACGGCTCCCTGTGCACTTGCCCTTTTTCTAAGGACTTCACTCATGTTGGATGGGGGCCCGCCCTGCCCCAGGATGACCTCATCTTAACTAATTACATCTGCAATGACCATGTTTCCAAATAAGGTCACATTCAGAGGTACTGAGGGGTTAGGACTTCAACATATGAATTTGGCGGGGGAGGAGGGGTGGTGACAATTCAATCATAACAGGAGACTCTGATGATAGTCCTGGCGTGACTGGATGAGGCACAGACTAAGAAAGTGGTGGTGCGGTCCCGGGAGCGAGAGGAGGGAACTGTCTTAGCTCAGGCCGTAACAAAGGATCCCAACCTGGGGGCTTAAACGACAGACATTTATTTCACACAGTTCTGGAGGCTGGAAGGCTGATATCGGGGTGTCACTGGCTCGGGTCTGGTGAGAACCCTCCTCCGGGCTTGCAGATGGCCACCAGCCCGCTGTGTCCTCACACGGCTGACAGGCGAAGCTCTTGTGTCTCTTCCTCTCCTCATAAGGGCACCAACCTCATCACGGAGCTCCTCCCTCCTGACCCCATCTAAACCTAATTGCCCCCAAAGGCCCCGCCTCCTAGTATCATCACATCGGGGGTTAGGATGTCAATACATGAATTTTGGAGGGATACAAACTTTCAGTGCATAACAACAATGGATTTGAAAGACACTGACAGAGGGGGCTTGACAGGCTTGGTGATGGCTGGATGTGGGCAGGAGGAGGAGGTGGGAGGTGAGGATGACTCCCAGGACCCTGGCTTTTCTGAGTGGTGGCCCCTTTGATGGGCAGAGGGCTGACAGAGGAGCAGGAGGTCCATTTTGAAGCTGTCGAGTGGTTTGGGGCTCTGCAGAGTCTCTGGAGCTCTGCAAGGTGGGCTGAGGGCAGGGGTCTAGGCATCTGGGCACATGGTGAGAGATGTTCCGTGATGGACTCTGGGGTCTGGGCTCTGCAAGGAGAGCGGTGTGACCCGTGGGTGGGGGTGGGATCTTGGAGAAGGTGAAAGGAGGTCAACTGGCATGTGTCCTGAGTTCAGGGGACCACTGGGGGCTGGGAGCCTACAGTTGGCAAGGAGGAGTCTGGAGTTCACAACTTTAGAGGGAGATGGCTCCGGGTGATGCCAAGCTCCAGGGTGTAGGCAGTCAAAGTGAAACAGAGGTGGCCGTCCTGTGGCTGAGGAACAAAGGTGCCAGGTGACTTTCCCGAGGGGTGCTAGAGTTCCCAGAATAATGGCAGACCTTGAGTGGGAGGAGCATGTGATCCAGGTGCTGACGTCCTCATAGATACGGGGTCATCAGAATGTTCTACGATGATTGTGACTAATACCTGTGCAACTCAAGGGAAGACACGACTTCATACAGAGGTGGGAGAGGGATGATGGTTGGGAAGTGCCTAAGGTGTCAGAGGAGCCACTGCCCCCTGCCCCCAGCAGACTCCTCCATGGGGGCAGTTCACGATGGAGTGGATATCCAGGAAGGCTTCAGGGGGGTGGGAGGGTAAACTGTGGGGGGAATCAAGGGTGAGGCCAAGTGGACGGAGAAGCTTGCAGGGGCCATCTGGTGATGACAGGACCGGGAGGTGGGATTAGCTGGCCCCAGAGTTTCAAATGGCACTTGGGAGTAAAGTGGTTTTGAATCCCAGCCAGCAGGAGTCCAGTCTCCACTCACAGCCCCTGCTCCCCACTTAAACAACCCACTCCATCTTTTCTCAGAAAGTCCTTCCTTGTGCTGCATCTTCACCTGTCCCCTGGTAACTTCCTGTTCTATTGCTCGAGGCCCTGGGGGACTGGACGCCAGCTGCCCAGTGTGGCTCCTCCCCATCCCCGGATGAAGAGGGACATCCCTTGAGCGCTTGTTACTGCACAAAGTGGGGGTTTCTTGCCTGATGAGCATAAGGAGCCAATTATGACGGCATCAGCCTTTGAGAAAAGAAAACAGCTTTATTGTGAGATCCATCAGTAAGGAGACAGGAGGCATTTGCTCTCAGATCCAGGGCTTGGATCCAGGGCTTGGGGCACAATTTATGGGATGACAGGCAGGGCGGTCTGAAGCATGGAGATGGATGATTGGAGGTAAGGAGAAGTGAGGTCACTGATGATCTGTGCAAGCATAGTCAAGCTTCATGCCTCTTCTCAGGGTGCATGCTCACAAAATGGCGGTGTTATCAGGATCTGAGGGCGGAGTTTTTAGCTCCCTTATGTCAAAGGGTCACCTATCGGTCATCCGTGCAGGCCCAGTTGTTGAGTCAGTGGCCTTAACCAGCCTGAACTAGACAAGGGGTCGTTTCTCAGTTCCTGAAAACCCACTGTTCGTTACTCTGTTGATAAGATGGGGTCAGTTGAACTGGTCCTAGAGGGCCCGTGGTTACACCCTCAGTTCTGCAGACACATGGATTTGTGTCCTTGCTCTTCAGCTGGGCTGTGACCAGAGCACCTGGAGTGGGGCTATCCTGGTCATTGTTTGAATGTTAATGCCATGAAAAGTGCACTTGCTTTTTAAGCAGTAAGCGTAGCAATTAAGAAACACAGGTTTGGGGATAAGACAGACCAGGGTTTGAAACCCCTCTTGGCCACTTGTCAGCAGTGCAATTTTGAGCAAGGACTCACACAGTGTGGACTTCAGTTTTCACACTTGAATAGTGAGGGTAAGGCTACGGGGTTTATGTCCCTCCCTTGTTGGGGGGGGCCTTTCGAGGTGACAGATTCATACAACTGCCTTTCTATCTCATTTCCCCTCATTTTTTCACTTTGCCCATAAAGTCCTGGGGAAGGACTCTGGCAGACGTCCGAATACATTGGGAGCCATGTCCCCCCCAATCTTTCCAACTAGGAACCCTGAGGGCCGGGAGCACGCGCTTGTCCATGGTTCCAGCTGAGGTTGGGTAGCTCCGAGATGGCTTCTGTGTGGTCGGCTCCAGCACATCCACCACATACGTGATCTCCTGAGGGAGGTCACAGTGTCCATCCTCCCGCCTCAGCATCTGCCCTTTGCAGCCTCTCGGAGTCTGCTTTACAAGTGCCCAAAAGTCTTAGAACTTATAGAACTTCCCCAGTGGGGGAAGCCTGCCCCCTTCCCGCTCTGCTGCCCCCTCGCACGTGCCCACACTTGGGGGTGAAGAATATTCTTGAAATCAAGTTCTTCCAGTGCTCACTTGCTGGGGGTGGGTGGTGGCAACCTTGGAGCCTCAGACTGCAGCCCCCAAGTCCTGGCCAGGTCAGGGCCATTCCAGGGCTGGGCAAGCTGGTTAGGGGGCATTGTCAGGGAGCCGCAGCTGCCTGGCTGGAGGCTGGGAGGCCTGAATAGCTTCACAGCCTGGGCCGGCTCTCTGAATGGGTGCTTGGCCCCTCCCTGGCGGTGGCCTGGAATAGATGACATTTTCATTGCAAACTAACAAGGGGAGAAATCCAATTACCTTACAAAGGGGCTCGTGAAGAGGCCTCACAGGGAGAGAAGGGGAGGGGAAGAGGGGGAATGAGAATGTGTGTGTGTGTGTGTGTGTGTGTGAGTGTGTGTGTGTAGGGAGGCTCCCCCCAAACGGGGAGGAACAAAGCCCTCACCCTCGGGACATGAGGGATAGGCCGTGAAGCTGGAGAGGTGGAACTGGAGGCTTTTAATTCCTTCCACACTGCCAGGGCCAGGCCTCCTTCCTTGGAGCCCAGTGGGTGGTACTGGAGGGGCCCTCACTCCCCCAGCAAGCCCCAGTCCCTCTGAACCCCACTCTCAGCCCATGAGACCAGGGCTTCCCAGGCACCCGCTGCACACTTTTTCCCTTCACCACATCCACCTAAACTATTGATGCTTTTTCTTTAAATTTATTTAAAGTGTATTACTTAAGTTTAGTATTTAAAAAGGAAAGTGTATATCCTAACTGCAAATAGAAAAAGTAGAAGCTAATTCTAAAAAGAAATATGACTCAAAGAACCCAATTCTGTTAAACCTCAGCGAGGTCTTGAGGCTTTGGAGCTGGAAGCCCCAGGCTCTCCAGGGAGGGGTGTGATGGGAGATGTAAGGGGAGTGTGTTAGCACGTGTTTGCAGCAAACCCAGACTTCTGGGCTTAATCCAGGAGGACTAAGAGGATTAAAAAGGAACACCTCTCTCCTCCAGAGGTTCAACCAGCTGCACCAGCAAAGCTGTGCCTCTAGGCGCCCCCAGGCCTGGCCCGGGTGCAGCGGGCGCGCCGGCTTCGGTCTGGCTGCCCTTAACCTCCGCTGCCCAACTCCTCAGTAGGAAATAGGGGCAAAGCGGGGGTCTACCGCGTTATTGGACGGACCTACTTTCCGTGCTTTGTGGGGTGGCCATTGGGAGACCAGAAGGTGGGAGGAGCCTGGGGGAAGTGGAGGCTGATGGCGTCGCAGGGCAGGAAGTCCAGTCTCCCGCTCTCCCTCCCCTTCGGACTTGGGAGGCGGGCTGCAGACCCCCTTCGGAGGAAATTAGCATTTGCTTCCTCCGACCTGGCCAGAGCAAATCAGTCTTCAAAAGCCAGCCTGCCTCATGGCCCCTCTGTGGCTCACTCCTCGTCCCTTCTCCCCCTACCCCAGCTAATTAAACTCTCCTGCCCGGAACGCACGAATGGGGGTCTCCTGGCACAGGGATCTGGGGACGCTGGGGGAATTCAGGATTTTAAAGATGCCCTTACCAATGCCCTCTCCAAACTGGGGACCTTACTGCTTCTTCTGTCGCATGGAGTCTTTTGGGGGTTGGCTCCAGGAGAGTTTAGGCCAAAGGATGGGACGACACCTGCCTCCACCCTCATCCCGGGGAAATTCAGGCAAACTGGGAAAGCAGAGGGATGGGCGGTGCTTGCTAGGGGGGCGGGGCTCAGATTAAGCCCCACCCACTCACTGCTGGCCTATCAGCGACTTTGGGGACTTCCTGCTGCTCTTTCCTCCCCTGGGCCATCCTCGCTCTAAGAAGGGTGGAGAAGAGGGTAGGAAATGCAAGTCTGATCCGGAGACCCAGGGGCACCCCAAGTCTTGGACGGGAGGTGGTGCCTCCAGTCAGTCAGATGCTTGGAGAGGGAGGCAGTGGGGGAAGTCCAAGGAGGGGGGGGTCTGCACAGGCGGAAGGAGACGCGGAAGATTAGAGAAGTTGGAAAAGACAATAGTCATCACTAATAAAGCAAGAGCCGTCATCTCCTAAGCGTTTACTCTGCACAGTGCCAGGCACTTCACAGGGCTGAACTCCTTTCACCTTCTCTAGTCCTCTGGGAGGTGGCTGAGGCTGGGTGACTGGCTTGAGAACACCGGCTGGTCAGTGGCAGAGCTCACCCTCATCTACCCACTTCCAGTCCCCATTCCTCACCTCCTTGTGGCATGTGGCCCTGTTGAAAGGACTGCCTTTTTATACTCAGTCTTTCTTGGCTTCCAGGACACCACTCTTTCCCTGACCTCCTCCTGCTCCTCTGAGATTCTGTGTGCTTCTTCCGAAGGGCCCACCCAGGCCTCTGCTCCAGGGCGGGGTGTGTGTGTGGGGGCGTGCATGTGTATATATATTAACACATGTATATTCCCCATAGTCTCTGGACTACAGGGCCCTCTGGAGCAGTGTAATTTAGCAGCACTGGTCTCATGAGTTGAATGTACCTCGGGTCCATTCCTTAGCCTTCTCATCTACAACTGGTCTCACCGTTTTAGTATTATCTCTTCCCTGATGACTCCCAAATTTACTTCCATCCCTGACAAATCCCATGGCCTATAAGACACATCTACCCAAATATCTCAACTCAAAAACATAAGTAGACCATCAGCTGAACTCATCTTTCCTCCAAACTCTCTTCTCACCATGACATTTTCTGTCCTAGGCTCCCAAAGTGGAACCTCCTGGGTCCTCATTGATCCACCTCTGTCCTGACACCTCTCATCCTGCTTTCTGAGCAATCATGCCCCACTCCACCTTGTCATACCACTCCAACACCCAGTCATCAAGGAAGTTCTACTCTTAAATCTCTCTTGCATCAGCACCCTCCCTCTTTCCCTAAGTCTCTGCCATCTCATACTTGACTGTTGAAGTAGATTCCTAACAAGCGTCGCTGCTCAGTCTCTCTCCTGCTGTCAGAGAGCCCTCCAAACCCAAATCTTCACATAGCAATCTCCCCGCTTAAAGATTTCCCTTCCCTCACCAAAACTCGCGTTACTTGCTTTTCATCTTCCACATCCACTTGCCTATGTACCTACACCCCCCATAAACTCTTATCTAAACGCTCGTCTTTTTATATTTATTCACTTGTTTATCGAACACATATTTATTTATTTTAGGAACTATTTATTTTCCATCAACCTTATTTCTATTTTCAGTTTAGGAGGCTGTGGAAGACCACCTTAAGACCACTCAGTAGTTGTTCCTACCCCTTCAGTGGGCTGAGCAGTGGGAGCTGCAGGCCAGTCCTCATGGCGGCCTGAGGGGCCAGTCTTTAGTAGGGACCTGCTGAATAGGCGCACAGGACATCTGTGCCTTCAGACCCATCTGTGGCCTCAGGTTGAGTAGCAGCAAACTCAGGAGCTGGAGTGGTCCATTCACTCTGAAATTCCTCCTTGGCCACAGCCTTTTCAGCAGTGGCCTGCTCTTCCTTTTCAATCTCCTCAGGATCCCTGTAGAAGTTGAGATCAGGCAGACGTCCCACAGGTGTTCATGGGAGATGGTGCCACGTGTGTGCAGAACTTCTCAGGCCAGTATCCACCCCATCAGACCTGCTGTGTGAACCCCCTTGTTGTTGCATGGATGGCAGCATCCACATAGCACAGAGGAGAGTGTGTTACACAAAGCAGTGGTAGGCAGGTTAACATAAGATGCCTCTATGAGAAGCTGGTGGTCAGCCTGGGATCAGTAACCTCCAGAAGTTGTGACTCCTGGAAGGCTGCCTGGATCTGGATAGTGAAGGTTCCTGGAGTGAAGCAGCCAATGATAGGTGGCTCCAATGGCAGCAGCAAACTTCAGCACAGCCTGCTGGCCAGTATTCCTGGATGACACTGATGTCAGCTGGATTTTCATGGCAACAATGCATGAGCTGCCAGTGGAAGCTTCTCCCAGGTCCTCTTCAGATTTATGATGTAGATGCCATCACTTTTCCTTTTG